GGGATTGGGAGAACATTAAAACGGGGTTCGTATACGGCGCCCCAGTAAATTCAGCTCTTGTTGCTTTCGAATAAGTGTTAACGGTGGGATAAATAAGTCTAACAGATGAAACTAACTGATCGATGAATTTCGGACAAATGTGGATGCACTAATGGTTTGTATATTCACTTGCAGTACTACTACTACTACTACCACTACCACTACTACTACTACTACTACTACTTCTACTACTACTGCTACTATTACTACTACTACTACTACTACTACTACTACCACTACCACTACTACTACTACTACTACTACTTCTACTACTACTACTACTACTACTACTACTACTACTACTACTACTACTACTACTACTACTACTACTACTACTACTACTGGAATTGAGTAAAACGTAATTGGATAATTGCCTTCATACAGGTTACAGTTCGAGCGTTAAGTTCCTTTGGATTGTGATTATTGCCGGGGAGAACAGAATCCAGTGATGTTGATACAGACAAACTTGTGGTTTTTTTTCTCGAGGGCTGTATAGGTTATAATAAGTTGACTCAATCAATGCTGACTCGCCCCTCAGACTTTGAGCTGCATGTGAGCCTTTCTTTGACCACCAAAATACGCTGTCACTACAATGATCATACAGACATTCGTTTTGACCCGTGCCCCAATGAACTCATGCGTGTGCGTGTTTGTTTGCCGTGATCACTGACATGTCCGACTTGATTAGAAATCACTGTCTTATTGATTCCACGTCAAACACACACACACACACCACTTTAAGGGTGTGGTCTGTTCCAAATTGACAATGCTTGGACTGAATCTAGCTCTCTCTCGCTCTCTTTTAGAGATACGAATACGATTATTCTATTCCTCGTTGTATACGTAAAACAATCAAGTCAGTTACAACCCAAGCATAGTCAAGAAAGTGACTTGAAACAAACTAAAGTAACCACACGCGATGCAAGGAATACAGTCTACGTAACTTCCTAAAGCGATGGAAAAATATCGGTGGACATATTAAAATAGGCAGTTGGGTAAAGGTAAAAACGATCTGCTGATTTCGGAGGTGCTTAGGTCTGCGCGGATAGAGGGAAACGCTGCCGGGCAGTGGTTATCTGGAAGAGTTTATTGACAGGAATAGGAGTTAACGGATTGTCATCTGTTTCTCTGTGTCTTCATTGCTGTCTGGCCAAATGAACTGACTGACTATTACGGAAGACAACACCTGAACAAACATGAATTCACAATTTGACTCAGTCATGGTATGAGCTGGTTGGCCCAGTGGTAAAGCACACTCCTTCCATGCGTTGGATCCGGAGTTCAAATGCACTAGTGATGAGTTTTGATAAGAGCGAAACCCGAGTCTAGTGCTTCCGATTGTAGGGTTGAATGGCTGAAGTGAAAATTATGCTTGAAGGTGAAGTCTGAAGGATAATCAGTTCAAATCAATAAACAATTAGGAATCAATAGAAATTTGTTTTGATACGATTATTTAGGCTCCAGTTCCTCGATTGCTGGTTATTTTAATACCATGTAATACGTGACTTGGTGGCAGTGGTGGTGTTTTGCAAAAGACTACAATTTACTCGATTAAAAAAAAGTTTAAATAACAAGGTGTAAAAGTTATTCCGTGTGTATTCCGATGGTTTGAAAGATAGCATAAATCAGGCCATTTGCTCCGTTTGGTTGATTTTTTCTTCGAGGGGTTAAGCTCAGTTGAAAATTTCATTGGAGATGACGATAAATAAGATACTCTTTGTCGGTTATCACAAACATTTCCACCGTATTTGAATGCATTCGACTAGTGGGGAATTAACGATCTCCCAAGGAGTGAAACCCACACCGAACATCATCAACAGTGCCTCCTGGTGCCTGTAAACAGAAAACGAATGGGCTAATTCGACCACATTCACCGCCTAAAGGGGTTGATCCGTATTCGCATTGTGACAAATTATCACCTCAGAGTAACAGATTATTGATGCAGTCATTGATTAGACAGGTAAATTATCGCCAACATGATGAC